CGACCGCCGCTGCCATCACAGCGACGCGACAGACCATCCATAACCCACGCTATTTCCCGCCAGACGAGCTGGCGAGGCGTGAGGACTTGTTCGCGGCAATCGCGAGCTGGGACATTGCTGCACTCTGCGACAGTCGACAGCCTTCGCTGTCACGGCGTTTACCGCCAAATCTGTGCCAACTGTTTTCGCAGCACTCCTGACACCGTTACTACACCTCTCACGAAACCCCGAATCCGAGCCGGGGTGGCGCCTGCTGCTGTTTCTCCCGCGCCTAACACTTCGCCAAACCTCGCCACAGCGACCAGATTGGCCGGGGGTCAAGGCTCGGCTTCGAGCTTTCCAGCGTGGCGAATGGGAGCGGCTGTACCTGGACGCGGTTGACGCAGTCAACACGCCTCCACCGCCACGCCATCGGCCTGACGCGACCGGAACCATTAGCCGAGCCGAGGGGCTCGCGAAACGCGGCAGTCTGCGTCGAGCCGTGCTGGCACTGGAGTCAACGCCAGTCTGCACCCCCAGCCCGGAAATTTTGGAGGAGCTCCGTCAGAAGCACCCACCTGCGTACACGAGGCGGTGACCTGGCCTTGCCACCAGAGTCAAAATTGTCCATCTCCCACGCAGAGTTTCGCCAAAATCCTGGGGCGATGCGAGAACGGAGTGGGAGCCGGACCGTCGGGCACAACATTCGAGCACATGCGCGACGCGGCCACCACTAACGCAATGATCAGCACCCACTGCATGCCTTGGTCAACACCCTGCTGGGGGGAAATTTGCCAGGCCCCGTGGCAAGCCTCCTGACCGCGTCACGGTTGATTGCCCTGGCCAAACCAGGGGGGGGGGCTCGGCCAATCGCAATAGGCGAATGTCTGACGAGGTTGACGGCCAAGGCAGCCCTGACAGCCATGGGGGAAGCTGCCCGTGAATATTTCCTGCCACTACAGTACGGCGTGGCAGTGCCAGGTGGAGCGGAGACGGTTATCCACACGGCCAGGGCATTCCTGGATGCCCGCCCGACAGCCTGGTCCTGCAAGCAGATATCTCGAACGCGTTCAATAGCATCTCGCGACAAGCCATCGCCATCGCCACAGCGTTACACGACCCCAAACTGTCGCCACTGCAGCCGTTTGTGAAACTGACCTACGGTAACCCGTCGCGCCTGCTCCTGGACGCGAAATTCAACTGCGATACCCTGCTTAGTGAACGGGGCGTGCGGCAGGGTGACCCACTTGGCCCGTTACTGTTTGCAGCAGGCATCCACCCCATGCTCCGTGACACTGCAGAGGCACACCCCGACGTGCTCTGCTTGGCGTATGCGGACGATGTCACCTTCCTGGGTGACACCGAACGCACTGTAGCCGCTTTCACACACTTCACATCGAAACTAGCGCAGCTGGGCCTGGCATACAATCCACAGAAATGCGGGGCTTGGCGTTCAACAGCAGTTGCGCAGAATTGGCTGCCGCCCGGGGTGCCGTTCGCCAAGGACGGAGTGCGTCTTCTAGGTAGTTACGTTGGGACGGAGGCTGGTGGCGCAGGGTTTCTATCGGGCCAGCTGGGAGAAATGGCGAAGCCGCTGCCGCTGTTAGAACGAGCAGACCCCCAGGTGGCCGCGCTGCTGCTCACGCGATGTATCTCTAGGCGTGTCGCGTACCTGATTAGGACGACTCCCCTCCACCTGCTCCCCCGCGCCACGTGGAGCCAGTGGGGCAGGGACCTACTCATCACCTTACTCACCTCGTGTGACATCCGCGCGCCAACATGCAGTGCCGAGCAAAAACGGGTCTGGGAGCAGGCGTCATTGCCGACGTCCCTGGGCAGCATAGGCATTACGGACCCGCTCATCGAAGGCATATACGGTTTCACCGCGAGTTTTACCCAGGCGGCGCTTTTCCTCTCCTCTCTAGCGCTAGAACCAGAAAGTGCCTTGACGATGGCCAGGAACCACATGCTGGCCCTAGGGAAGACAGCACCCCCCTACACTCGTGGCTCACGGAGTGCGAAGCAGCCCTGCCTCTAGACGCGCGAGAGATCCTTGAGAAGGAACGGCTGGAGCGTTCTGATGTTAGGCTACAGCACGTGCTCGGCTTGAAAGTCCACGGGAGCAGATACGCTCTACAAGTCCAGGCAACTCGGAAGATGCAGCTGAACCCTCTTTCTGGTCACACGCAGCGTATGTTCTCACTGACTGGGTACGCCACTGGGGATTGGCTGACTGCGATCCCAATTGAGGCCACCAGACGGATAGGCCCCGTGCATTTCACAAACGCCGTACGGTTTCGGCTGGGTCTCCCCTTTTCAACGCCCAAGAACTGTGACTGCGCAGATCAGGTCGCTATCACAGATCCCCGCCTCCCGAACCATCTCCTCCGCTGCGGCACCGGCAAGCATCGCATTAACACACACAACGAGCTGCGCGATGCGTGCATTAGCATGGCGCAGCACGCCGGTTTCATAGTTCACAGTGAGTCGGCCGTTCACTGCCCCATCGAGGAACAAACCG